TGATAAAACATAAAAATATGATAAAGATGAAAACTAAAATAACAATTTTGTTGAAACACATTTTGTATACTAAAACAAAATAAATTTCAGAAAAACGCATTAAATGGCAGATGTTCCTTAACTGGTGCAGAGGAGTAGAGAAACGGCAATATGAACAAAAGATATAATGCTACTTCGCTCTAAAGGTTTTCACACAACCACGAACACGGTGTACATAATATATGATAAAACCAGAACTAACGAACACGGAGTTGATGGAACATGGAAAACACAACATAATTTACCACGTAAAATGCGATTCCATTACGATTTAGAGCCACGAAGAAGAAAATGTCATTTTATATTTCGATTAATTCTTTCGATTAATATTCAATATTCATCAACGAGCTTCTTGTAAACCTGTCTTCATTAATAATTACATACTCACCCTACCTTGTTTATATATTTATAGATGTTTACTATATGTGAAATAAAATGAAGATAGGTTTATTAATTGAATAGTAATCATGAGTATTCAACAAGGAACGGTGATTGCTACTTATCCCTACACATAAAACAGCTAAATTCAGCACTCACTCTATTATCAGAGTATTAAAATCTTCAACTATTTCCCGTCAAATTTGAAATTACTGAAAACTCATTTGTTTAAAAAAGAGTTAAGCCACTTATGTTAACAAAGGCATACTATAGTGTGGCAGAGTACTTCGATGATTCGAATGTAGGCAATAATGTATGAAAATCAGAGGTAATAATAAATACTTGTCTAAAAATCACTGACTGAACAATTCTTTATTCGACTAGTTTCGCCTTTTACGGCATTATCAAGAATAAATACATATTACATAGACAACCATTAAATATTTGCAGATCTGTTCGGACCACAGAATACACCTTAAAATGGTCATTTTTTAGAGGTGGGGATTTAATTTAATTTAACTTACAGAATAATAATTATTCGGTAAGCATCTGAAGAAATGGTTTGCAACGACGAAACGCGTCATGCTATGTAGTCAATCTTCTCAATGACCAGTTAGACCTAAACCATCCCCGTTCTGTTAAATCTCTGATAGTTTGGAAATTCCCAATTCTATGACCGAATTTAAGGTGTATTCTGTGGTCCGAACAGATCTGTAAATATTTAAAGGTTGTCTATGTAATATGTATTTATTCTTGATAATGTCGTAAAAGGCGAAACTAGTCGAATAAAGAATGGTTCAGTCAGTGATTTTTAGACAAGTATTTATTATTACCTCTCATTTAAATATGAACTATCACAGAGTTGATTCATCGTCCATTGAATTTATTAATAATGTATGAATCAATTTTTTTTATCATATGTTTGTTTATTTTTTTACCACGAATGTCCCTCACCATGTGAAATTGTCTCAAATGCTTAATATTTCTGAGGTAATATTTTATTCTTTTCGAAATATTATCGTTATTATCGTATATTATCGTAAATATAAATTGAACCAATATTTTTGTTCAGGGCTGAATGGAAGATCAGACTAAAAACTGAATTCAGTCCTTTGTGAGCATTCTTCTTAGTTGTAATTATTGAATGTAATTTTACAATGTAAGGAATGTTTCTCAATAAATTTTATTATTATTATATTTATCACAATGCTTGGAAGACCAAATTTACGTATCTAAAAACCTCAATTTATTTCAAGGACACTAATCTACATTAAAGAAGTCTCTCCTTCAATCAGAAATTGAAGTGGTTCTAAAATCACACCACATATGAAATTGAAGATTGAAAACGTTATACTAAAAATATACAGTATCGCACCTAAAATTCTGACGTTGATCCGACTTGTGATCAAAACAGAAATGGAATTAGAATTTTCAAACGTCAGAATAGTTACTAGAGTCTATACTCTACCAAAAATTCACGGTACTACCTTTAATGAATAAAATGAACGGTGATATTGAGGTTACTTCGATCATGACACCAAAGTGTCATTCCGATACAATTTTGCAACCGCACCGTTGAAATGCAGAGCGGAACACATCCTAAACGAGACTTCCTCTCGGAAACAGGTCTCCCCGACTACCGTGCGCCGTTCCAACAAAATTAGCATCAGACAGGTCATTAGCTGGCGTTGGTCCATTACATAGCGAACAATCAATACTGAAATTTCTCCAAAATATTGCAATTGTAATGAAAAATATGATTTGGAAAAATATTCATACGATGTGAAAACTGAATATAAACTTAAATTCAAACACTTGAATTTATGATTTACACTTTATTGACTACATAGCATGACGCGTTTCGTCGTTACAAACGACTTCTTCAGATGCTTACAGAATAATAGCAACATTTTGAAAAACACAGGTATAAATATCATGGAATTTTGGGATTCTATGGTTTTGGTTTTACCTAAGATATGATAACTACTACAGAATATCATTTATCGTTATGAAAAAACACTTAATAACGCTTAGGTAGTGTAGTATTTCTACAATATACGAGGCCTGTTCAAAAGAAAAGATGAACTTTGAATTTTCGCGGGCTCCTCACATTCGATTATCACCAGCTCACATATGCTTGTTAGTGATTTCTTGGCCAAAAACAACACCGTAATCATGTTTCAACTACCGTTTTCACCAAATTTGGCTCCTCAAAACATTTTCCTATTCCCAAAACTGAAGAGTCCAATGAAAGGAAAGACTTTTACCACAATTGATGAGATAAAGTTGGAATCGAAGAATGGGCTGATGGCCAAACCAAAAAGCGCATTTCAGAAGTGCTTTGAGGATTGGAAGAAGCGCTGCCATAATAGTCCAAGAGCTAGTGAACCCTGGGAGTAACGGTCTTTCTGTAAGGTTAGAAATTTGTATACTTACGATTTATCGCATGCAATAGCCATGACCTGGAAGGCGTCAGCCCTGCACGTCATCAGCCCCTTTATTTTTTTATTGTTTAGTAAATTGAGTTTCCAAACTTGTTTCCGTAAATTTGAAAATTTAATAGGATAACAGTGTTGAAGAATCAGATTATGATGAAAACAGTGATAGCGAAATTTCGGATGAAGCTGAAGAAAATTAATGTTAAAAATTATGTAGATTGCATAAAACCCAATAAAATACATTGCATTTACTGTATGCGTTCATGTAACATTTCTTATTTGCACGCCGTTAGCAGCTGTCCCCTCACCTGTCAAGGTCTTATGCTGTTCAAAACCGCCTGGCATTGTTACATATTTACTCTGAGACGTTTACTTGAAAACATGTAAAAATTTCAAGTATGCATGATAAAGTTTATTTTACCACATCAACTGTGCGTTTTCTAATTGACCTGTCATATACTTCTGCTTATTGTAATCGCCTGTCAATTTTTCTTTAAGATGTACAATAAATGTGTATTTCAAAATACCGTTACGCCCAGGAAAACTGACTGTTTGGTGCGCTTTATGGGATGGTGGAATCATTGGTCTGTACTTCTTCAAAAACGATGATGGCCAGAACGTTACAGTCAATGGTGATCGGTTATAGAGCCATGATTACTAACTTTTTCATTCCTGAATTGAACAACCATGATGTCCAGGAGCTGTGGTTTCAACAAGACGACGCAACATGTCACAAAGCTCGTGCCACAATCGATTTATTGAAAGACACGTTTGGTGACCGCCTAATTTCACGTTTTGGACCTGTGAATTGGCCTCTAAGATCTTGTGATTTAACACCGCTAGACTACTTTCTGTGGGGCTATGTAAAGTCATTGGTCTATGCGGATAAGCCACAAACGCTTGACCATTTGAAAGACAAAATTCGCCGTGTTATGGCCGATATACGGTCACAAATGTTGGAAAAGTCATCGAAAATTGGACGTCCAGATTGGACTACATCCGAGTCAGCCGTTGCGGTAATATGCCAGAAATCATATTTAAAATGTAATGTCACAAGATTATCTTTCGATTAAAAAAAATTCTTGTCAATCGAATAATCCATCATTGTTTTATTGCAATTTAAAGTCATATATCTCTAAAAAAACACCCTTTATTTATCGTTTGAAGGTTACGCTATATACGAATGAAATAAATAATGCCAAAGGTATTTGGCTGGCGTTCCCAAGTAGTGGTAACCCCTGCCTCCGTCACCCTACGCGCCACTTGGGAGCTGTAGGGTGATGCAAGGGGGCGCGACCAGCCCCTGAAGAATTTAATGTTCATATTGTCATAAAGTCCATTAAAGTTTTCATTGTTTTTTATTCCGTAGTTGAGTTGGTACAATGGGGTTGTAGTATTTTAACGTTAACTTGAAAGGGGCGCATGAGGTAACACTTGAAAATTCCTTGATTAGGGTATCATTGATAGATCAAAAGATTAATTATGACAGCTTAAATGGTCAACTGTCTCTCAGTATCAAAAACAGCATGCAAATTCATATTCATTATAAGTTCCCCATAAAAAACCACATGAAGAAAGAAATTTTACATTTCGAAAAATATTTGAGGATAAAACCTAGTGATCTAGAAAATAATTCATCTGAAGATATTTTCCGGGGGATTTTCATTTAGAATGTGATCTGGTGGAAAATGTGACGGGTCTGACGGCGCCTATAGGATATATTGAAGGTCCTCCTGAAGGACGACACAAGGGCAATAACTTATCCTGCTGTCACGTGATTTTCGACGCCCTTTCGGGATTTATAACCGCCATTTAATTGAAAACTGGCAATGTCGAACTACGTGGGCGGAAAATCGAACCGAAAGCGGCCGATTGAAAACTGTAAAAGTGGCATTTTGAAGTATTGAACTCGATCTAAATGTCTAAATGGGACCTTGACATGCTTTACGACTTTGATCCGGGAATATTAAAAGCACTGCTTAACTGAAGCGAGAATGGAATTATACAAATAACTGAAAATAATACATCTAATTCGTATATATATATATATATATATATATATATATATATATATATATATATATATAAATATATTTTTATAGTGAAAATTGACAATCGAAATTACGCCAAAAAAATCCAAGTGAAGACCTCAGTAGCTTAGTGGTCAGAGCAGCAGGTCGTGAACTTGAAGACCTGGATTCGTATCCCAGTCGAGGTCGTAAACTTTTAGCGTGTTCAAGTCAATAGGTTGCGTTAGTAGTAGTACTCTCAAGATTGTTCCCGTATTTCAGGAAATACGTATCATATATGATAGAGCGTACTACTAACGCAACCTATTGACATCTGAAAACATTATATGATGACATTTGCCAAAAAGACATTGCAATTTAGTAGATACCTACGGGTATAGAAGAGATGTGAACGTTCAATGCTTGTTGTGTCTATGACCTGAGAGATGTTTTCTATTGATTCCTATAGATGGAATTGTGAAGTAATCATTATTTTACTGTATTCCACTTGGAGTGGTAAGAACTTGGGGATTGAGATCGTTGCCTCACTTCGATGGATGTGCTGCGACTGACGAGTTCCTTGCAGAACGAAACATATATGTCTCGCACTTCCATCAGGTGTGGCATCGATTTCAATATTTCTCTAACATTTATCCCTTGAAGGATAATGGAGACATCACATCTTTTTATTATCATATTCAGATCAATTTGAATATATCTATGAAATTTATAGTCTACGCAGTTTATGATAGAGAAATCTTTTGTTTTTCCCCATGATAATTTATAACGGTGTAACCAGGCCATCCATCATTTATTGACAATATTTCAACACTTATTTGTACTTGGATCAAGTGAATAAAAATTTAACAATAATGATAGAAATTTTAAATTAAACATAAAATAATATAGTTACTTGTAATGAAAGTTAGCAAGATGATAACATAACTTCATTACGCAGCAGCAAACTCTACTTAAATATCTAGTTTATACTTGAAACTATGTCAACATTCCATGAATTGTTACAGTCAACCCACTTATCGCCAGATGTCACTGTTGTGATAACTATACAGCAAAATTCATGTGTGGAACTCGATTGCAATATTTTTATTTTGAAAGAAATAGGTAATAAAGTTATGCTCAAGTTGTGTATATCGTACTCTGGTTCAAAAGTGTTACTATTGATTGAATATCAAACACTTGACTTGGTTTCACAAAATCTATATATGAAGAGAAAACTTTGTCCACTTTTTCAAGAAAATTCCGCGAACAGATGAAGCCCATATTCAAAACTTAAGCTGGAAACAGCTTAACTTTAACAAAGGTTACATAAACGGTTGAAACAACTGTTAAGCTAATCAACATAATTCTGTGAAATCAAGCCAAATGTTTATTATTAAAGCCAACATTTTCATAAAATATGTTTCACCAAGAGATCAGAGGATCATCGTCTAATTGTTTATTACGTTTATCATAAATGTGTGGCATTTTTAAAAACGTTTTTTGTGATCTTTTTCACGACCTAAGATTCCAATATTTTGAATATATAAAGATCTTTTGCTAATACGACTATCACTTCTGTATTATATAACTCTTTGTTTTAAACTTCATTCAAAACGGTCGCTGGAAAACCGGTGGCCAGTTTCACGCACATGCCTAGGCTACTTTGAAATCTATTGGATGCCCTTTTGCATGAAAATGTCCGTAACTCCACCTATGGGAAGTAATTAATAACACATTCCAGTTCAAACAGTTATTTTTGGTTTTCTCCAAATCACTTTTGAACGCCAAAATAAACTATTTTCAAATAATTTTCAGATATTAACAATCAAAACTATTCGGAAATATTTTGGACAGCTGAATAATAATACATTAGAAAATGTTTATTTTCGTAATTTTCAAATCTAAACTCTCAACGAAATGAATGACTTGATTTACTTATATTTATATATATAGAACATCCTGGAACGTGGGACATATTAACAAAATAGTTCCAAGAAAACTTTGTTCTTTTTTAATCCACAACAACAAACTACATTATACAAAATCTACAAGGCTACCGGCAAAAAAGTAAACATCGTCCTATGACGTCTGCTTCCTTAGTTAAAATAGTTTTCCAAGCATCATCTTGGAAACGTACACGTAATAAGAGTCCAAAATGGGGCGGAGAAGGAGATAAGGCACATATTAAGACGATTGACTATTCATGTTCAAACAATGTTAATGTGACAAAATTATAGCCTTCGGCTATTGTTGTGTCCTGTGTAATGGCCAGAATAGAATGGTTCGAATTATGCCGTGCAAACAATCATCCTGCATTGTCGACACTATGATATTGTTGAAAAACGACCAGTGGCAGAGAGTTTGAGCCACCGAAAAATAATAATTATTATAAAGTTGACCGAGTGTTCGCTTATCTCTTGGTGAAACCTTCTCTGGTACATTAAATAAAAAACACTTGGCTAGGTTTCACAACATTTATAATGAATAAATACTTGACAATCAATATAAAAAATCTCGAAGATCGCACTGAGTGTCGCTATAAAATCGCACATTTGAAGTTTGAGCAGAAGTCAAATCGTCAACCTTCACTAAAATGGACAGATGAACGGAAAAAAGAGCATTCAGAGAGGATGAAGCGTTTTTGGGAGGCCAAAAAGATAAAGCAAAAGTTCTAATATTTGCGAATTCAAGTTCAATCGCTCTCCTCATGGGGAACAATCGTTATATATATATATATAATAAAATAAATAAATATAAATCTTATATATATATATATATATATATATATATATATATATATATATATATATTAAGAAAATGAATACTAGAACATTCATTTGAAAAATTGAAATTAATCAAGAGAATGTTATAGTAGAGCTAGATATATGAACGTTTACGATGTGATGTCTCCATTATCCTTCAAGGGATAAATGTTAGAGAAATATTGAAATCGATGCCACACCTGATGGAAGTGCGAGACATATATGTTTCGTTCTGCAAGGAACTCGTCAGTCGCACCACGTCCATCGAAGTGAGGCAACGATTTCAACCTCCAAGCATCTTATTGTGACTTCAAGTGGAAGATCGTAGAGTAACGAATACTCTACAATCCCATCTATAGAAATCAGTAGAAAACACCTCTCTCGGATTACAGACACACCAAGCATCGGAATTTCACATATCTTCTATACCCGTAGGCATCTACTAAATTGCAATGTCTATTTGACAAATATCATCGAACGATGTTTTGTAAATGTCAATAGGTTGCGTTAGTAGTACGCTCGCGTTTATTCCCGTATTTCAGGGGCCTATTCGGCGATATTTTTAAGGAAATGAAATTATTTGTGCTTATGGCACTGAATGAAATATTTAAGAAAATGAACACTAGAACATTCATTTGAAAAATTGAAATCCATCAAGAGAATGTTATAGTAGAGCTAGATATGTGAACGTGTACGATGTGATGTCTCCATTATCCTTCAAGGTATAATGATGATACAGAAATATTGAAATCGATGCCACAGATCCATCAGGTGTGGCATCGATTGATGCCACACCTGACATGACACACCTGTGACATACCACAGATCCATCAGGAACATTTAACATTCCTAACATAGGACTATTTAAGGCCCTAATCCGTAGCAAGTTGGAGTATGGCAGCATGATCTGGCATCCCATTTATACTTGCCATCACTAACATCTTGATGCCATTCAGAGGTTCTTGAAATTCTTAGATTAGTGGGAGAATAAAGTTTATCCACAGAGAGAAATCAATGATAACAATTTATTGATTCGATTTAGTTCAATCTCATGGCAGGGCAGGCAGGAGAGAAACCTTATCACTCAATTTTTTGTACAAATTACTGCACAGCAGTATTGATTGTCCTCCTATCTTGTCCGCTTTGAAATTCCATGTTCCTAGGCAAAATTCTCGTACTACAGACTTATTACACCTGGAGACTCCAAGGACCAACTCGCTAATACAATCTCCCATTTAGTTTATGGAATCTACTTTCAATACAGATGCTAATGTGACATTCACTTTGACTCCATAGAAGTTGTTATCCTGAGTTATGTGAACAAAGGAAATTGACTAAAATGAATTGATTTAGATTGAGTTCTTTGTAATATTTCATTAAATTCTAGTTATTATTAGTTATTTTTTTCAGTTTTTTCAGATTATATTGAGCTCTTTGTTATATTTCTTTCATTTTATTTATTGAGTTATTATTTAAAATTATATTGTATATTAAATATTATATTGTATTAAATAAACTTGTTGAAAATGAAGAACTTATTATTATTGTTATTATTCAGCTAAAGCTAAACAACAACTTACAGATTTTGAAAAGCTAATCTTGAATTTCATAACTACGACATTATTTTAAATTTTTTACCTCTCGCTTGTACTAGTTTTCAAGATACTTAATGAATTATTAAAAGCATTAAATTCGTCATAGTGCATACTATTTTCCGATTTGAAAAGCTTACAACTTTCGATGTAAAACCTCAGTATTTCTCTTCTATTTAGTATTATATCAAAGCACATCACTGACATATGTTACATTTTTATAACATTGCATGAAAGAAACTGATTTCTAATTTCAAATATGAATATAGATGTAGCAACGAGTATATTATGTTTAACAGAAATTCCGTTTGAGTGTTCATCATAATTTTCACTGGTGTTGCACTTCAAAATTGTTCGTATAGTTAGGTCTGTTCAGTAATTTTTGTAATTGTTGAGTTTTAAAAGTGAAGCAATATTTAAAATGTGGCATTATTATTGATTTGAACAAATGTCGTCAGATTTTTTTGTACAGTTTTGAAAAAAATTGATTTTTTAAACTTATTAAAAGATATATCAACAGTTAGAATCTTCCTGATTTGGTTGGAACATAGCATTGTGAAAAATGATTTACAAACTAACTATATTAAACTATATCTTTTTACAAAATTCACATTATTTTCAATGAATACAAAAATAATACAACAAGTACAACTTGCTAAATTTAAAAATAAGCATGTTTGCTTATTTCATAACTGAAAAACGGTTGGAGCGATTATAAAAGAACTACGCCACTGGATTCTACTGAAAATTTCTATATGATCGTTTTTATCTTCTTCCATAAACTAGAAGATAACAGAATTACGTTGAGGGTTCCAAAAGTGATATATCTGACCTTGTTTCTAAAAATCAAAAAGTG